AATATATTCCCTACCTGAAAGTGGTAAGTATATTATGTCACATACATAATGTTTTGCACTGAGAACACTTCAAGACCACTAAATATCCAAAATAAAATCATATTCCATAGTAAAAATGTCAAAAGATTCCCAATATATCCCCTACCCATATCCAGAAGCCCAAATTTCGTATCCGTAACATCCCAGCTTTCAACCGGGCGCGCAGTGAATGTCATTTTTTGATAAGAATCTCGTCGGATACAGCGTAGTTATTTGCAATACGTATATTATATACTTACAGATCTCTGTTCATGTTCTTATAGAGAAAAACCTTTGCTCACACGCCAATTCGATATTCAACTGTTGTTTACTGCTTCTATTTTTTATTTCTCGAGGTAAGCAAATGAGTCCACTGAACATTTGGTATTAAATTGTTACGGGAAGTCTTAGTCTTCACATGAGACATGAGGTCAAAGTCACAATTTTATTATTAACAGCTGTCCTACCTTTCAAACCGGACAAAGGCATTACTAGTTTGCAACAGGTAGAATGGTGATACATTTTTTTTCGGGTTGGGGCCACACCACCAGGATAAAGAGACGCGTGGAATCTATGGGACGCTATGGCCAAGGACGGTAAAAGCTAGGGCCGAAGATGGTAGAGATGAAATAATGGAATAGAAGTGTTCACGAGTGACCTCGACGATGGCGGAATAACAAGTGCTTTAATAACTCGAAAAAAAAAAAAAGAATTTCACTGTAAATTTATACAGTATGAAAATACCTACCTGTGTTGCTCACCGACTCCTAAAAAAGAGAGAGGTATCTTATGAACGTCTGGTTGAAAAATAATTCCTTTTGCTATACCATTTTTTTACTCCATTTTAGAAAAATATATCACTATTTTATTTGAAAATATATAAAATGTTTTTGCATCTAAAAATTGACGGAAAGCTGAACCGATAAATAAAAGCTTGTGTTTTATTGGTGATCATGAAGTACCTCAAAAACCATTGTAAAAAGATGTCGGTTTTTGGATTCGTGTATCTTTTTTACACTTTTTTCGGTCTAGCTCCTCCGCTCGCAAACAAAATTGGCGATAAAGAACTCTGTTCCGATTAGGCGGTCGCAAAATATAAACCAAAGACTTTTAAAAGGATACTATGCTTTTGGCATTAGCACAAAGTTCGGAACAAGGCAGACTATTATTAGTCAAGGTGGTAAGCATTAAGAGCCACATTTCAGAATGATGGCCTAAAGACATGTTCAACGTCCATTATCCCACAACATGTACTTTAGTGTGTGGATAAAATAACGTGTTACAGGACAGTTCGTTCGAATTCAAATATTTTTAATGTACATTATATACTTACTTCATATCTCAGCTTTTGAATACTCTTGAATACTTTTGAGACGATTTGTTGATTTTTTTTCAATTAATCACGTTTTAATAACCTTTAATTATAAAAACAGATTTCGTTCAATAAATGTTTCGAGGAGATTATCTTGAGTGGTTAAATCTTCAAGTTTGGTTCTAAATGCTTTTAAAACGATTCTCTTCGTATACACATGTAAGTCTGTTAGTATTTAACAAACAAAATACGCAATAGGTACTCGTCTCGCCGCGTCTATTCCCCGAGAAAAACCTTTGTGGTAAAATTTAATTAACACGTAAAGGGTTTCATAAGGAACCGAGACAATAGACTTACAGTTCTTTAAAAGTACAACTGAAAATGTTTAATTAAAGGAAATTAATTTGTTCTCAAAATGCTTGGGGGCGACAATCGAACTTTTTGAACGTTTGTTTTACAAAGAGCTCATAATATTGTTCATGTGACTTTAAATTGGAAAATTCTGAAGGAAGAAATGCTCAACCAAGAACCTTAAAAAAAATCCATTAGCCGTCTTTGTTAATTTATGTGCAAACAAACATCCAAATAATACATTAAATATAAAAGTGTAATATAACCAAAGAAGTTATGGCATGCCCTTCTTCAAACTAGGCTTGTGGAGAGTATTGAATGGTACACAGTGCCTTGGCTCTGCCCCTGTCATTGCTGACATTCACGAGCGACGGTAACCACTTACCATCAGGCGGACCGTATGTTCATCTGTCTTAAAGGGCAATAAAAAAAGTTTCCGTCATTAACAATACGTGAACAGATAGTGGATACATATTATTATTAAGTGAAATAACTAACATTCATGATATAATTTAAAAGTCAGAACTATAGCGAAATAAAAATTCCCCAAACAAAAATAAATCTTCAAATTGGGCCTAAATCATCTTACGTAGATATTTAAAAAGATGTTAACAACGAATCTTGAAGGCTAAATGCAAAATTATTATAAAATTTCGCAGTTATATTACACACACACACTATTAATTTATTAATTAGGCTCATAATCTTGGGTAGATTACCCGACAGTATTCCCGTTATCATGGCACATGGAACACGAAATATCCGGGAACTCATTTAATGTAAAAATCGTGATCAGAACTCGTTAAATAATTATGTGTAATATTTTAAAAAGTTTATTTTTCTACTATGTTCGTCACGTCACCTAAAAACTATTTCAAATACTTGATTAAGCCGTCTCGAAATAACCAGAATTTACGAATTGTGAAAACTAAGGAGAATCTTAAAGGTTAATTAATACTACTACAAATTTTCTCGCAGAAGGCGATGGGCTAAAATGGATAGAATTCCAATTATATCTCTAAACGCTTGAGCTATCATAACCCAACCAAACCATTCATCGGCTTTATGATTAATTGTCACAGTTGAACACCCCTGAGTCTTCGTGGCTTTAATAGCAAAAGCCATTATTCTATTTTCACTCTTGTTGCTGACAAAGTGTTTGGTGGAAGGTGATTATCGCTGGCCATGTACATTAGAAATGTCAAAAGCACAACTAGGTCACCTCTGTTCTTTAATAACTTATTATGTGAGTGAGTGAGTGAATATGTGAGTAATAATCTCTCCGTAGTTCATCGAGAATAGCAAAAATGTATTGTAATATTATAATAAAAATTAAATTATTTAGAATTTAAATTCTAGAAATTATTAAAAACGTTATTTAATTGCGATCGGAAGGACATAAATGTTACAACAGCTCAGAGACTAACGCAAAGTCAAGAATAGCTTTTCATAATTTAATATGTGACAATTATGTGAATAGATGAGAATAAAGAGGGCTATTATTAAATTACTTTTGTTCAATATATATTTCAATATAATATACAATAGCATACGATACAATTCAATATATATACTTATTATTCAAAAATCTGGTTCAAATCTCCAAACTGTATTCCGGAATTTTAATTAGTAAAAAGTACATTTACTTTCACTACCATTTAGTCCTAGTTCTGTACGTCGAATAATCCTTGTTGAGAATTCGCTTCTTCGTCTACTAAATTTTTTTAACTAGCGTTACGTGATTTCGTCCTTTAAGCCTGGGAAATTAAAAACATGTTCATTTTGAAGGCTGTCAAAGCAAATACTCCTAAAGCAAACAATATAGGTTTGGTGAGATAACAATACGAAAAAAATGGCATACCTACCAAGAGTCTACAGACTTCACTACGCCACTGCCCTAATTGAAGCCAACCAACAAAATTCAAAACAGAACGCGGCCTCTCAATCCTTTATTAAAAAAACGGCAACTTGCCAAATTCCGTAACTAAATAAAATATTGAAAAAAGTCCAAACACTCAACCTCTTTTGGCGAAAACGTAGCCAAATATTCAGATCTCCAATTGTAACTATTTAGTTTGAAACTTCGGTTTTCCAAAGGGATAATTAAATTCGGTTTCTGACAGAGCCACTGAAGACAACAAGGTCAGAGTTTTATTGAGATTAAGACTGTTTGTAATAAACGTTGTAATTAATTTCTGAACTAATCTTGCTCTAAACGAAGCGAGACCCGTTAGATTTAAGATAATTCTGCGCAGATCTAATAAAGGTCTGAAAACCGTTTCAGAGCTTTTAGATTGTAATTAAGTACTCATTTGTAATTCGAATATGCAGCTATTGCCTTAAACGATAATCAACACAGAAGGTCATCCATAAATAGTGCGCACATCTAGTACATAATTTCTAATCATATTTAAGATACCTTTTTATCTATATTTAAGATACCTTCTTATCTAAGGTAACGTCTTACTAGCTATTGTTATTTTTCTTGCATTAAACTAGTGAACAGGCTTACAGGTTATGGTGGTTATTGGTTAATCGGAGTCTATAGACACTGTAGTGAAGGTTGCTTCATTCACCTTGAGACACGAAGCGCGCTGAAAATTTTATTGTAGGTATCTACAACAGCTGTCCCACCTTAAACTAGAACCTTTCAAGGGTAGTGCAGCCGTTGTTCTGTTAAACTGAGACCTAATCATATCTCAGGGTAGGTGGCAACATTTGTTGTTGTAGATGCCTATGGCCGAGAGCTCGTCCACCCACCTAAGCAATCTATATATATAAAAATGAATTGCTGTTCGTTAGTCTCGCTAAAACTCGAGAACAGCTGGACCGATTTGGCTAATTTTTGTCTTGAATTATTTGTGGAAGTCCAGAAAAGGTTTAGAAGGTAGATAAATATGAAAATGCTCGGAATTAAACAAAAATAACAATTTTGTTTTTCCTTTGATGTGTCCCCCGTCTGACGGATTCATTTTGTTTGGTTTAGTTTACTTTATATACAAAAGTTTAGTCCTTTCATTTATCGATTGAGGCACTATGAAGTCTGCCGGGTCAGCTAGTAAATATATATAATGCTTATAAAAGAGTGTTAATTGTTTAAGGCTGCTCGTTTTCCGACAGTTATTCGTTCAACAAATAAAACACCCGATAAACCTTACTTCTATCAATTCGGACATCGCAATAAATCTCGAAACAGAATTTCACGAGACCCAATCAATGACGGTCCAATGAAAACGTGATCGATCAATTTAACCTTTCAAAACCCGTTCAGTTTTACCCCGACGTTGTGTAATTAATTCAATTTGAATTTCGTGGGCAGGTGTCGTGGATTCGGAAACGGGATTTGCACATACTAACCGTCGGCGTGCACACGTATAGCAGCGACGCGAGATTCGCGGCCCTACACACGGACGGGTCAGACGAATGGACTTTACGCGTCGCCCCAGCGCAGCCGAGAGACTCCGGCTCGTATGAATGTCAAGTGTCCACTGAACCGAAAATAAGCCTTTCTTTTAGGCTCACAGTTGTCGGTAGGTATATTTCATATAGTTTACTAGTGGTAGTACCTCTTGTGAGTCCGCACGGGTAGGTACCACCGCCCCGCCTATTTCTGCCGTGAAGCAGTAATGCGTTTCGGTTTGAAGAGTGGGGCAGCCGTTGTGACTATACTGAGACCTTAGAACTATATCTCAAGGTGTGTGGCGCATTTACGTTGTAGATATCTATGGGCTCCGGTAACCACTTACCACCAAGTTGGCCGTGAGCTCATCCACCCGTCTAAGCAATAAAAAAAACCTCAAAATATCTAAATAAATCGGATGAGAGGATCCTACAGTGGTAATTAGATCTGTTATTACCTAATCCGTAGATGTAGAATCTTTTCTTCCATTATCTCGTCCATAACTTCAATATTTTATTTCAAAGTCAATGTAAGCACGTGAATTAACAAGTAATCTATTTTTTTTGAGATGTTTGATCCTGAATTCGTCCAATATGTCAATTAAAAAAAATTGGATATGAAAAAAGCCCGTCATCTAAAGTGACTAAGCACATCGGTTTTTTTTATTGCTTTGATGAATGAAGTAGCTAATAGCCCACCTGGTACTGAATATTTATCAGTGTCCATAATTACGACAATGTGAGTTCTGTCACCCATTCAAAGACTTGAACTTTATGTTGACAATAGACATCTGCACAAGCGTTCCTTATTACGGCATAATGGAATGACTTTCATTCATAAAAATTCGACACGAATGAAGACGTGGATCACGTCTTTTATCACGCTAATGACGTGCTCTATGAAAACAAAAAAAAAACAAGAACACTTATAAATTAGGCGATTAGAAGCCTCTGATATCTGATGTTATACAAAAATAACTGCCAACTCTTCACAACATTAATGTAGTCTTCGGAAACCAACGATTATCGATAAAGAAATTATCTTAACAACAATCTATCAAACGATTCTATCTCTAATCAACCGAATGATCATTGTTCTATACTCTTCGAATGTACTGTGTTACTTATAATATTTTGTATTCAAGTTTAACAATATTTGCTATGTGTATGTGCATTACTATAATTTTCATGTTGTATTTGTTATTTTAGCTGTTCTACACATTCTCATCACTTTTAATTATTATTCTCATAATCCTCTCGCAGGTCTGCTGGAAGAGATTTCTTAAAGAAATAAGCAGTGCCTTTGTACATAATTTTCCTATTACTCTGTACTATGTCTTCTTTATTGTGTGTACATAAATAAATAAATAAATGAATAATAATTAACTTCAAAGGACTCAAACTCATACTTTCAATTAAAAATACGTCCGCTCTTCAAAAAAAAGCATTTAAATGTATATTAAATGTACATTATATAAAGTTTTTTTTACAGTATCAAAGGCAGAAATACTGTCGGGACCAGAACTCTTTGTGCGAGCCGGGTCCGACATCAATCTGACATGTATCGCTAGACATGCCCCAGATCCGCCAAGGTAAGCTCTTAACTCAAACGCGAGCACTTTGTAGCTAGCTAGGTAGATAAAAAACTGTTTCTTGAAGATTATTTTATAGTTTTTTTTTATCTTTTAGAATACTAAAAAACAGACTCTATTTGAAAGACCCGCGCTCACATCTTTTGATAGGACCTCAAAACATTAGAAGATTATGTCATTTTACTGTTGGTAGGACCACTTGTGAGTCCGCGCGGATAGGTACCACCGCCCTGCCTATTTCTGCCGTGAAGCACTAATGCGTTTCGGTTTGAAGTGTGGGGCAGCCGTTGTAACTATACTGAGACTTTAGAACTTGTATCTCAAGGTGGGTGGTGCGTCTACGTTGTAGATGTCTATGGGCTCCAGTTACCACTTAACACCAGGTGAGTTGTGAGCTCGCCCACCCATCTAAGCAATAAAAAAAAGTTTTTAACTTTATTTATAATCTTGTAAATAGACACCAAGCAATCTTCACAGTTTGACAATAGCACATTATATTTTGGTCTAAGAAATTACTAATAGAGCGAAAAATATTGTTATTTTTTTCTTTTTATTGTTTGGATAGCTGGCGGAGAAACTCACGGACCTTCTGATATTAAGCGGTTACCGGAGCCCATTGACGTCAAGGACGTTAATGCCACCACCCATCTTGAGACATGTTAGTTGTAAGTCTCAGTTCTATAATACAACGGCTGCCCCACCCTTCAAGCCGAAGCGCATTACTGATTCACGGCAAAAATAAGCGGCGCGGTGGTACCTACCCATGCGGGTTCACACCACCACTTATCACCACCCGTAATTATGCAAATAGTAATTTTTGAGAGTGTTATTTTTTACTATACGATGTAAATCCTTCCTATAATCCTTCACCGTGGAAGTCATTCGTGATTATTTGTTAAATACGTATTTCAATAGAAAAAATAGTACCTGCCTGCGTGATTCAAACACCGGCAGAGTTGCATCGTTCGATACGATTCGTACGATTAGTACGAATGCCCTAGGCGTCTGTCAGTACAACATAATATGAGATACAAACTAAAAATAAGAGACAAATGAGATAAAAAAAAAGATTTGTGGACAGTTTGAATTTAAAATTAGAAGTGACGCTTGATTCTCAATTGACATATTTTATTGCCGAGCAAAAATTTAATTTAGAGGCCGACCCAGTAAACCTTGGCTAGTATTGATACGTCTGCATCATCTTGCAAGTTCTATTGAGTCTCCTATTCGTTAAGATAAGCAAAGATACCACGCCTTGTGTCGGTAGTTTATTCTTGTAGAAAGTATACGAATACAAGTTTACCAACTATCACATACATATCGACGCTTGAAAGGCAAACGTGACTAAGCGACAACAACTGCTTTATACATAAATGATAGGCAATAACCATATTATCCGATGCGCAAAAAAAAAATTCTAGGTCTATTAAAATAATTTCAATCCCACAGCTAGATTCGTTAAAATATAATTTTTTTCAGGTATTTCAACTTTAAATTAGTCTAGTAAAGTTCACGCATTGTTGCTTTAGCGTCGATATGTACATCTACTTGTATGACAAATGGGCAAATGAATTTACTTCATATCATTTCATTAGTAATTTTTAAGTGAAGTACTTCATTTAAGAATCATGAAGATTACCTCGTGAATAATTCAGTGCTACCATCAGTTAAGTACAAGATTTGTTTCGGGGTATTTTCTCATGTATATTTCATACGAAAACTCATGTATGCGTAAGCATTGAAATATAAAATAAATCAAAAACAAACCGTGATTAAATTTATCACTAACTAAAACACTTAATATAATAAGATTTATCTATATATTAATACGTGAAGCAAAAACTTTGTATCCCTTTTTACGAAAATTGCGCGGACGGAGGAGTATTAAATTTTCCACACTTATAGAGAATATAGAGAAGAAGTGCACAATGCTAATATTTTTTTTAAATAATGCATAAAATATACATTAAATCAATAAAGAAAACATTATACACACTACATACCATTTATCTGACGCACACACGCATGCATACTATTTATTGTCAAACTTTTGTTCTTGACGTCTGTGGTCAAATCGAGAATAGATTAAATATTGTTTGTCTTTGTTAATATTTTTTATAGTATAGTCTTGGTGAAATTTGTGATTATAGAAGTATAAAATACAATCATAATAGTTTACAAACTTACAATTCCAATTAATTATAGTCGAATTTCGACTACTGCGGGACCTCTAGTATAAATAAATATACATTTTGTTAATTTGTTCGTTCTGGATTCTCAACGATAATATTCAAATTCGAGTTCTCTTGAACATGTATTAAGTATTTAGAGAAGACCTATTAAGCAAACAGTGCGGTTACCGTGAAATCTGTAATCACAGTTATTGAACTTTAGAAAGTGTACCCTTTGCACACCGTAGGCTCAGAATAAATTTAAGCTAGAGCGACATGCCAACATAGTTTATTATTCAAATATATTCGTTCTGTGAGAGCTTGTGTACTTGAATATAGTCTCTAAATCGTCTATTTCATTCCAAGCAAAGTTTAATATCAAGCATATAATGGCCTTAGTAATTAACGTGGTGGAACCTGGGAATGTTTGCAATGCTTCACGTATTCTGTAGCTTCGAATATGATTGAAAGAGATATAACACGCTCACTATGAGTAGTTGATAAAATCCATTAAGCATACAATAATAAACTTCGTTAGCTGTTACTGAATTCATAACTCTAAAAAGTCAGTATGACTTAAATGTTACAATAACTTACAGTCTATAATAATTCTAAGTTATGCAGTATGGTCGGATAGGTAGTAATCATAATACTGTCTATTTTTGCCTCGGTAAATTCAGACATATTTTTTTATTACCGATCGCACGACCCAAACGGTTTAAAGTGCTTAATAGAGAGCTATTCGGCAACATAACGTGAATATTCTTGCCTTGAGACATGAGGCCAAGCTTGATTGTACCTACCTACCTACCTACCTCTCCGAGCTTATTTCCTCCCAGTAATTACGAAATTTTAGTGTTTTTTTTTTTATTGCCCTTGTAGGCAGACGAGCATACGGCCCACCTGATGGTGAGTGGTTACCGTCGCTCATGGACTTCAGCAATGCCAGGGGCAGAGCCAAGCCGCTGCCTACCAAATGATTTTGAGGTTTTATTATATGATGCTATTTCTTTACCGTGGAATTTCTTCGTAAGCTCGTGTTAGGTACTATACCTAGTCTTGCCATAAATACTGAGACAAAGGAGAAAAAAAAATCTATTGCAAATAACATTCATTACTTTTACAGTGTGTTAGTTTAATACATAAATATAAAACAATTTAAAGTAGAAAAAGCTTATTCGAAATGGTCTCCATTGGCTGTAATACAGTCCTTTAAACGTTCAGACCAGTTATCAATACTTATATACGTAATATATGGCAAATAATGCTACGAACCTACATAGTTTGAGCCTTGATATAGTCGCATCACTTAGGCCACATATTATCCTTCTTCACATTTTGGCAATAATAAAAGCAATCGATAGCATTTATTACCTATGATGTTGTTTGTTCTTTCGGAAACTACCAAAGTTGTATCACATGGAGTAATTGTTTTCGTAATACCTTTTATAGCCAAACCGTTCGCTGCTGGTGCAAAGTTCATTCACACCAGCTACGACTGCATTCATCTATAGCGTGGTTCTAGAGATGTTAATCGGCATGTACAACCCGGTGTTAATGTCCTACACGCTATGACACATCAGTCATTGAACGAGGTTTTCAAAACACTTTTTAAAGGACAGCGGCTTCACTATGCCTTGCCTTGGCTATGCTTGGCTTTTTACTGGTGGTAGGACCTCTTGTGAGTCCGCGCGGGTAGGTACCACCACCCCGCTTATTTCTGCCGTGAAACCCGTAATGCGTTTTGGTTTGAAGAGTGGGGTAGCCGTTGTAACTATACTGAGACCTTAGAACTTATATCTCAAGGTGGGTGGCGCATTTACGTTGTAGATGTCCATGGGCTCCGGTAACCACTTAACACCAGGCGGGTTATGAGTTCGCCCACCCATCTAAACAATAAAAAAAAATCTATAATTTGCTTATATCTGTGAATGTCAGTAAGTCACCTCCATCAGACATATTGGTGTTTGACTTCCATAGAAATAAAAATTACTTAATTTACATTTAGTTTGGAACAATAATATTTGTGGAATTATTTGTAAAGAAAGTTTGTTTGTAGACGCCGCTTTTCTGAAAGTCGTAGAACCAGAGTTCGAACTATAGCCATCAACTGAATAGTGTTTAGTATTGTAGCTCAATTGAGTAAATTCTATGCCATTTGAACTATTCAACTAAAGTCGTTTACGTGCCGTGTTTTATATACCGTATTAACTTGTTACAGAGTAGACAATTTTACATAGATCGCTTTGTTTGTTTGTAAATCTGAATCGAATTGAATTTAGTTATATAATAGCTTAGTCAAAGTTGTTCATTCGTTAATTAATATTGTAAAAGAAAACTAGCACTTTTTTTTTATTGCCCTTGTAGGCAGGCGACCACACGGCCCACCTGATGGTGAGTGGTTACCGTCGCCCATGGACTTCAGCAATGCCAGGGGCAGAGCCAAGCCGCTGCCTACCGTATAGAGATTAAAGATTAATTATCTTATGATTTACATAATAGGTTTAAGATAGGTTCATGCGTGCCGGATTGAAGGTCAGCTGCTGTACAATATCACTAAGATTTGGACTTCATCTCAAAGCGTACGTGGCTGTATTCAAATTGCGTTCATTTCGTAGCAGCTAAGCCGTGAACATACGTGAACATGTACATTAAAAAGACACTTGCGGTAAGGGTGTAAAAAATCTTTCTTTTCGTCTTCTACGTAAAGGTGCAGTTATAAAATAAAATCCAATATTAAATTTAGACAATAACAAACAAACAATTTTTTTTTATATTGCTTAGTTAGGTGGACGATCTTACAGATATTAATTTAATTTTTATTTTTTTTAATTTATTTTTAATGAAATTTATTTATTATAAAAAAAAAGAACACAATATTCCTAACCTAAAAGTACATGTTATTATCCGCAACATGCTTCGTCAGATTACAGAAATAAAGTTATCAGCAACATGCTTCGTCAAAAAGTACAATACTAATTACATAAATAAAAATAACAATTTTGTTTTTCCTTTGATGTGTCCCCCGTCGGACGGATTCCTTTTGTTTGATTTAAGTTTATTTTATACAAAAGCTTATGTTTTTTCTTTATCGATTGAGGCACTACGTAGTCTGCCGGCTCAGCTAGTTTTTTTAATAAAATTATTCAACCAGAAATCCCTTGCGTTTTTATACTTACGTGTATGAGACGTTGCAATGCATGTTCTTATACGTTCTTAAATGTCCCTCTTGGCGACTGCAAAAGTTAAATAGAGCCACTTATCCACTAAAGCCTGTACGTGGATATTATGTCGTAACTTAAAATTATCTCTGCGATGTCTCATTTTCAAGATTTAGGGCTTTTGAACCAGAATTTCTGTTGTACGCTGAATATTTTTTAGGTACTTTAAAGACTCTTTTGTTTTTAATATCACAACAATTTAGCCGGACCGAACATGGACCGAACTTCGCACCAATATCTCCATTCTTCGAGAACTCGGCATTAAGCACCGTCTTTCGGCGCTCGTGCATGGACGCATACTATCATTTTTTGGACATGTCTCCCGGCGAAGAAATGACTCCATAGAGCGCCTTGTCGTTCAGGGCAAAGTAGAAGGCACCAGACCGCGTGGAAGGGTGGCCATGCGATGGACCGACCAGATCAAGTCGGCAGTTGGCGGCTGTTTGCATGAGTGTACCAGGCTCACCACAAACCGGGAGGAGTGGCGATTGCTCGTGAGGCGCAGAACATCTGCCCACAACAATGATGCTGGATGACGACCACGACCCCTCTGACAAGAGTGATACGACATACTAGAACAATTTAGCAAAAGATACGGATAAAATTGCTTCCCATTATCAGCACGGAGTAATAAATAGCCTACATATTTCTCCCCCAATTCCTAACTTGACCTACGGTTTATATGTTCTTATCCAGTATTTGTTTAAAAATAAACAAACGTGAGAATATTACGCTATCATACTAGTCTTGATGTCGTGTTAGTTTTTTATGAAGATTATTTAAGACAAGAGAGTAGAATAAAATATTTGCGAATCGTCAAAAAGCATTTAGGAAAGTCCTCACGTTTCCAATTGGTTATAATGAGTTTGAATCCAGCTTATTCTGACAACCGTACTGTTTTGATGAGTTCAAAACCTTGACAGTTCAATGTTTTCAAATTAAGCGCGCAGAAGCGTCAATTTAAAACTAACATTAAGGTTTTATCTCGCACTTATTTATCATTTTGACTATTTGGGGCTTCACGAATAATTCGTTCGTTTTCGTAATCACAGACTAATTCTGTCTACGACTCGGAAAAGCCGAAGAAAATGCTAAAAGCATTTATTTTATTTTATTAAAAGCCTTGAAGAGAATATTAGCCTAGCTAATAATAAAAAGTTATTGGGGTCTACAAATATCACAATAGAAATGAACCTGATCCAATCATAATGTAACGCGCATTGGAATTGTGGAACAGCAATGATTTTACCGAGTGCATACATGACTACAATACATGTATACGAACAATTTCCATCATTAAAACAAATTAATTTTGCGCAATTGCTGGTGGTAGAGCGTAATTTTAAGGCCGTCATGAGAACCATCACTACCATCACCAGCCGCACCATCCTGCCTTTTTCTGCCACTAAGCAGACACGTTCATGATAGACGGGTAGGGCAGCCGTTTAAATACTACAACTGAGATTTCGACCTTATGTCTTTAGTTGGATGATGGTGCCTTATTCACGTTGCAATGTCTATGTGCTCCAGTAACTCTTTAATATTACTAGAGGTCCCGCAGTAGTCGAAATTCGACAATAATTAATTGGAATTGTAAGTTTGTACACTATTATGATTGTATTTTATACTTCTGTAATCACAAATTTCAGCAAGGCTACACTATAAAAAAATATTAATAAAGACAAACAATATTTAATCTATTCTCCATTTGACAACAGACGTCAATAAAAAAGTTTGACAATAAATAGTATGCATGCGTTTGTGCGTCAAATACATGGTATGTGTGTGTAATGTTTTCTTTATTGATTTAATGTATCTTTTATGCATCATTTAAAAAAAATATTAGCATTGTGCACTTCTTCTCTATATTCTCTATAAGTGTGGAAAATTTCATACTCCTCCGTCCGCGCAATTTTCGTAGAAAGGGATACAAAGTTTTTGCTTCACGTATTAATTAATATATAGATCATATGGGTCGTAAACTCGTTCAATCATATAACCAATAAATAAGTAGATATTGCTTAGGTTAGGGATCATATCGACAAGTGAAAGGTTATTATTTAGTTTAAGCGACATTTTTGCAAGTTTACAGGAGAACCATTTAAAATTTAATATTTGGACAAAATATCGAAACAGAAAAAAAATCTTCTACTATTTGAATGGAGTAAACTGAATTGAAGTTAAATTAAAAACATCGAACTGTTGATACTAACACCAAATAAAAGACATCTTTAATTACAAAGATAAATGTCGCGTATTAAGCGAAATGTCGCTTAAAATAAATACCCTTTCACATCTCGATATGATCGCTTTTCAGGGACAAGAAAACTTTTTTTTTTCTCCACCTTATCCCACTAGGTGGGGTCGGCACAGCAATTTTTTTTCTTCCTTTCTCTTCTATCAGCCGTCATCTCAACACTCACTCCTCTCTCTCTTATATCGTCATTCACACACTCCATCCCTGTCTTCTTCAGTCGACCTCTTCGCCCTCTACCTTGCACTACCATTTCCATACATCTCCTAGTCACATGCATCTTCTCTCTACGCATCACATGTACATACCACGTAACTAAACAAATTATTGATGTAACAATTTTTTTGTGCAGCTTCATATACTGGTATCGAGGGTCCAACGTAGTGAATTATGCTCAGCGAGGGGGCATCAGCGTGGAAACCGAACAAAGGACCCGCACGAGCCGGCTTCTCATAGCGAGAGCCTCGCCACGGGATTCAGGAAATTACACGTGCGCTCCGAGCAGCTCTGGTATGTACTTGAAATTAGGTAGCTTAACCTTAATTTCAACTTTAACTCCTTAACTTTAGAATTAAATTTAAAAAATCGGCTTACTGACGATAGTTGAACGTGACAACGTCATAAGAAAATACTGATGGAATGGTTTCTTTTTTCAATTATCGCAATTATCGTTGCAATAAACAATTGACACCACATTCACTTTTCACTGAACTTCATACTTGATGAAAACGTGTAAATGTATTATTGTATAGCAGCTGTCCACGCGGATGCATCGCTCACTCAAATAGGAGAGACACAGATGTCGAACGCTGTCGAATGCGGAGGCCGATTGTGCCTCTTTGTCGCTCGTTGCGCGCTCTCGCTTGCACTTCAAGCCTTAAATGGAACGCCTCATGAGTCATGTTTTTTCGTGCGTACAGCCGGCTCCATCGAATTATAAGACGTTGTCACGTCAAAACTTTGTACAAAACATTGCGACGATTCATACGTAACTATCACATGTCATTTGAGATTGCACAATGATTGCATAATCTCAATTCCTAATTTCGTTATCTGGATAATTTCAATAGGTTTTGTTATTCAGTGCATTCTCTGTAATCCGACCGTAACTACCGGGTACTCAATATTGTACTCTATTTAAATACATACATATCTTCAAGCATCCTTTACCGTGTTTTAATCAAATCTTATCCGAATTAGCACGAACACTTACAACAAAACAGCAAATAACAAATTTCTTACTTTCTTTTTACTTACTGTCTTTTTTACTTTTTTCTAATAACCGAAATAAAATCTTAAACACTAAGCCCCTGTCCTTAATATTAGAAATAAAAAAAAAAGTAAAAAAGATTAACAATCTTTCAGGCAGCGTAACCAAAATCATTCACATTGAAACCGAAAACATTTCCGCAGCATTATCTCCGCAGTTGGAGACGATTTGTCTTGTGTTTTTTTTTTTTTCATTCCCCCGAAACCTGAATCAACGTGTTTCGATACGTTGTTTACTTTTTATTGGCTATTCGTATTCCTTTCTGCTCATTCACNTTTTTGCGTCTTTTTTTCTAATAACCGAAATGAAATTGTAAATACTAAGTCCTCTCCTTAATAATGGAAATAAATAAAAAGTAAAAAAGATTAACAATCTTTCAGGCAGCGTAACCAAAATCATTCACATTGAAACCGAAAACATTTCCGCAGCATTATCTCCGCAGTTGGAGACGATTTGTCTTGTGTTTTTTTTTTTCATTCCCCCGAAACCTGAATCAACGTGTTTCGATACACTGTTTACTTTTTATTGGCTATTCGTATTCCTTTCTGCTCATTCACATAACTCAAGTAATTCGAACAAAAAAAAAAAACGTGTCCGTGAAAATTGTCACCCCTAAAGTTGGCAAACGTGCCTCGTTTACAAACAGGAAGGGTTATCGTTGCCTTCTCTGACCCCTTTTATATAGTAATATCGACAAATCAATACAGTAACGTATGAGTTCATTTCCATGCCACTTTACTGGCCCATTTTCAATTTCCTCGTAAACAGGTTTGAACAGTTTTTAAACAAATTATTTTGCACATGAAAACGTTTACAGCAGTTATCATAATTTCAGCAAAGCAACTGTTTGTATTACATTTTACTTATTTATTGCTTAGATGAGTGGACGAGCTCACAGCCCTCCTGGTGTTAAGTGGTTACTGGAGCCCATAGACATCTACAACGTAAATGCGCCACCCACCTTGAGATATAAGTACTAAGGTCTCAAGTATAGTTACAACGGCTGCCCCACCCTTCAAACCGAAACGCATTGCTGCTTCACGGCGGAAATAGGCGGGGTGGTGGTACCTACCCGTGCGGACTCCCAAGAGGTCCTACCACCAGTGATTACGCAAATTATAATTTTGCGGGTTTGATTTTTATTACGCGATGTTATTCCTTCACCGTGGAAGTCAATCGTGAAGATTTGTTAAGTACGTATTTCATTAGAAAAATTAGTACCCGCCTGCGGGATTCGAACACCGGTATCCTATAGACTTTCAGTACAGTTTATCTTAGAAGACTGTACGTCCTTAATATGCATATAATGACCGTTTGTTTAAAATTCATCAAGCTGAGATTTAATTTCTGGAAAATTAATTTTATTTAAGTAGCTTTTCTTCGGGCTTTGCGAGTCATAGACATAATAAAAACTGCTTTTATGGTTTAATCTTCCGTCTATTATTTGTACTAGTATTATTTCCAAGAATACTTTACAGTTTTCGTGGTCATGGACAATTAATTTATTATTCATCGATATTTGAATATCGTGTTACATAAAACAAATAATAAATTAGTAATTAAACCGTAAAAGTGGTTTTAATTATATTCCTTTAAACAATTTTTTTTGATGTACTCTATTTAAATACATACATATCTTCAAGCATCCTTTACTGTGTTTTAATCAAATCTTATCCGAATGTCTTTCAACACAGTACACGTAGCACGAACACATACAACAAAACAGCAAATAACATTAAATAATAAAATAATAAATTCAGATCGTAAATGCAACAATGTGTTCAATTATATTTACGTAACAGATTCGGCATCGGTGATGGTCCACGTTGTGAGCGGAGAGCGGCCGGCGGCGATGCAAAGCGACGCTGCTAAGACGAACAAACCCTTACGACCTTCAGTGTTGATATCACTCGGAATGATCGCCAGTAAAGCATCGTCCTTAGCAATTTTATTACAGGGCTTTTTCATAAATTCGATTTATGGAAACGGAAATCCGTGGAACAATTACTGCTTAAGGAGATTCGAGCCGAGATGACCTCAAGTACGTCACAACTGAATTGTATTTAATGCAATTTATTAACTAATAACAAAAGTATGGTGTTTATGATATGAACGATGGATGGACGTTGAAGAAACGAATTATTGTTATGGACGAATATCAAAATTGGATTTTACTCTGTCGATCGAAGATTCATTTTATAGCCATTGATTTTTTTTGATTTACGTCTGTATAAAAATCAGAACATCGAATGTTTTTGAAACATTGTGTAAGTTTATGAAAGTTCTGAATAATTTGCTTATTAATTAGAATCACAAATGTTTTTAAGCTCCTTAAGACCAAGAGACTTTTAGAGACTTTCAATGCAGCTAAAATTGTTTCTAAATATCTCATGATGTATAAAAACCAGAATGTCCACAAAAAAACATTTTTTAACGTATCTATTTTGGTAACTTGTACCACACTGAAATTTAAACAAACTGGTCGAAAGAATAACCTCGTGCCATGCTTGCAGACACATGATTAATAGTCTATTGTGATTTATTTTTTAAATCATGTCATGAATTTTAATGCTAAATAATAAATAAAAGTATTTTGTTATTCAGATACTAAAACGTGGTATCACTAAAATACAAATAAAATAAATAAATTTATTGCGTTTATAAGGTATAGGTTGATTTTTTTATGAAACTATTAGGTATTAAATTGAAAAAGAATCTTGAATACTTGTGTACATATAATGTTTGTTTTTTATAAAATGTAATATCCGAATCAATCAGAGCCATCAAAATGTTGTAAGTCAAGAAATCAAGTGTAGATACTACATACTTGGCAGAAACGTTCCTACTCTTATATTATACTGTTGGGACAATTAGGTTAATTTTCAAAAGAAATATTGTTATGAAATTATTCTGAATAAGAACGAAGCTCTTAATAAAATGTTTTATACACCGCTATATTTTGTATACCAACTCAAAATTAACAGTAATTTAAAAAGACATTTAAAGTATACGGTGTTAGTTAGAAGTCTGTGATTATACTTCACGATGATAAAGTTACTGGAATAACTTTTTACGGTAACCCTGCGTAAAATGGGAGATAAAGGAGGTTGCCCGATTGAATATAATAACTTTATTATCTCTAAAACAAAAGGTTTACATATTTTAAAAATAACTGATTGAAGAATAAAAAACTGAAATTAAACGTATTGTCGTTCTTCAACATAAGTACATATGTAATTATACAGTGTGCGGAAAGCTCACGTTGAAAATAATGAAAACGATAATGTTAGAAGGTTAGCATTTGACCAATTATCAGCTTATTAGTGAGTTTTATTGGGTTAATCGATATCTGTCACAAATTACTTTAATTGGTACTTCCAAATTAGTGGTGTATTAAACGCGGCGATAATATTGGGTAATGGACTATTGGATGTCGATATTCTTCATTTGAAAAAAATGTAGAATATAGTGGGCAGCCAACTAAATATATCGTATGTATTAAATAATTGAAATAAGACTTAGTTCGTATTTTATGTATTAGTTACGCATCAATGTAAATAAAAATTTGTAAATAAATACGTTTTACGTGTTATCGTGATTGTTTTATTCAAATCGTTGAAGTTTTCGTATAAAAAAAAAAAATACAAAAAAAATTGAAAACGAAACTTTTCGGAAATTGAATTTCTTCTTACAATCTATGTAGGTATTAATAAAGTTTGAATCTTCACGCGAACGTTAAGTCCTTAGGGTATTTGAAATGTTAAGGGTTGCTTTTGTATAACAACTTTCCACAAAATTCCGTATCGCTTTGTTTCCTTTTGGAGGGTTAGAAATACGGTGTGATGATTTTTTTACCGTTGTCACCTGTGTCGATAGACATTGGAACGTGGATACCGTCATAAATTTTGATGGAATTATGAAGCTGATCCATACTTTGCGGTAGGAATAGATAAGCGGTGATACTAAGCGACGGATGATAGAGATTAAGAGAAGAGTAGTAGCTCGACTTCTCATATTTTTAAATGGTCTAGATGAATGAACTAGCTTAAGCCCTGTTTAAGCATTCTTAAGATAAGCTAGAGAGGATTGTAGCTGAATGTTTTTTTTTATTGCTTTGATGGGTGGACGAGTTCACGGCCCACCTGATGTTAGATGGCTACCGGAGCCCATAAACATCTACAACGTAAATGCCGCCACCCACCTTGAGATATGAGTTCTAAGGACTCAGTATAGTTACAACGGCTGCACCACCCTTCAAACCGAAACGCATTTCACGGCAGAAATAGGCGGGGTGGTGGTACCTACACGTGCGGACTCACAAGAGGTCCTACCACTGCTATACCGCTATGCTATACTATGCTGATTGATCTAAGAGCCTTTAATCGGTTCTGACTGTAAGCTTTACGTCTGCCAAATTTTTTTGAATTTAATATCATTCAGCTACAATAATTTTTATTGTTTAGTTGAAACATATTCCTCGGTCATCAGCTCTTTCAGGTTGCACAGCGTTTAAATGAAATCGTATTATCATTTTAAAAATAGAAAAAGAAAAAGAAAAAAACTGGATGAACAATTTTAATATTGTGAGTCTGTCAAATAATACAATCTCTATTAGAATTAGGTAATTAGACAACTTATTATAATCTAAAATCTTTTTACAGTTTCGACTAATTCTAATCGGGCTCTTGATGGTAAAGAGGTATTCCAAGTATCTAATTATTTTTATTGCCTTTTTTTGTAGACGAGCATACAGCCCACTTGACAATAAGTGATCACCGTCGCTCACGGGCGTCAGGAGAGCCACACAAAAATAATGGAACCCAAAAAAATACCAAGACGTTGTCTACTTCAGTTCTGTACATATTATTTCAGATAAAATTAAATCTTAATAGAAAATAATTGAAACGGGCTCAAATCTCATGTTGGCAGAATTCACGTCAAAATATCGTGGTTAATAAATAACGAGACACCAGAAGCTCGTCAATCAATAAATATACTAATAATAATTTCAATATTAATTAACAAAATTACCAATAAAAGCAATCTACTGAACATGTGATCTGTTAATTCTATTACACATTTTATTAATACTATCAAGTGAATATTGAATGTAATTATTGATAGAGCGGTGTTAGCCTACATTGGTAGATTCGTTCCTATTTGATTGAACGATATATATATTTTTTTTATTTTTTTATTGCCCTTGTAGGCAGACGAGCATACGGCCCACCTGATGGTGAGTGGTTACCGTCGCCCATGGACTTCAGCAATGCCAGGGGCAGAGCCAAGCCGCTGCCTACCGTTTAATACTCTCCACAAGCCTCGTTTGAAGAAGGACATGTCATAGCGCTCGGGAAACACCGTGGAGGGGAGCTCATTCCATATCCGGATGGTACGTGGCAAAAAAGACCTCTGGAAACGCACTGTGGATGACCGCAGTGGCTCCAGGTAGTATGGATGAACTCTACTCCGGTGGCGGGCGGTGCGATGGTAAAAACGAGATGCCGGTATCATCTCGAACAATTCCTCAGAGCACTCCCCATGGAACATACGGTACAAAATGCAGAGGGAACCGAAGTCCCGATATATCTAAAGATAGGCATATCCATTTAACATATCCATAATAACCGCTTAACATTGCAGTAAAATATATCATAAAAAAATTGTTTATTAGCTAATTTCCAAAAACTATCTATACTTATATTATGTATAAAAATAAATTGCTGTTCGTTAGTCTCGCTGAAACTCGAGAATGGCTGAACCGATTTGGCTAATTTTGGTCTTGAATTCGACAACACCTCGAAGTTGTTGACGAGTATATTTACCTGGGACACACTGTCCAGCTAGGTAAGTTCAACTTCGAAAAAGAGGTCAACCGTCGAATCCAGCTCGGATGGGCAGCGTTCGGAAAGCTACGTAAAATTTTCTCATCACAAATACAACAGTGTCTCAAGACGAAAGTCTTTGAACCGTGTGTGTTGCCAGTGATGACCAATGGCACTGAGACGTGGTCACTCACAATGGGCCTTATGAGAAAAAGTGCAGTGGAGAGCAGTGGAGAGGGCTATGCTCGGAGTTTCCCTGCGAGATCAAATCAGAAATGAGGAGATTCGCAGGAAAACCATGGTAACCGACATAGCCCAAAGGATTGCGACACTGAAGTGGCAGTGGGCAGGACACATTGCTTGCGGAACGGATGGCCGTTGGGGACAGAAGGTTCTTGAGTGGCAACCGCGTACTGGAAGACGTAGTGTGGGTAGGCCTCCCGCAAGGTGGGCCGACGACCTATTGAGGTTCGTGGGGATCCGCTGGATACAGGCAGCGCAGGACCGGTCTTTGTGGCGAGGCTTGGGGGAGGCCTATGTCCAGCAGTGGACGTCCATGGGCTGATAGAATAGAATAGAATAGGTCTTGAATTATTTGTGGAAGTCCAGAGAAGGTTTAAAAGGTAGATTAATATGAAAATGCTCGGAATTAAATAAAAACATTTTGTTTTTCCTTAGATGTGCCCCCCGTCGGACGCATTCCTTTTGTTTATTTTAAGTTTATTTTATACAAAAATTTAGGTCCTTTATTTATCGATTGAGGCACTATGAAGTCTGCTGGGTCAGCTAGTTCGAAATAAAAATTCTGAAGATATTATCTGCGATTTTGTAAATACAAAAGCGAACTTAACAAGCATTAAGATCATTGACACTGACCCAATCTCAAGCAGAGCCGATCTCGATCTTAATGAACAAAGAGTTCGGTACCCACAGGATGTTTCAGACACAAAAGACGTATTGGATTACTTTTGTACGCGCTGACCGTTCAAGTTCAACGAAACCTTTTTATGTCGGCTTTTATTTCAGCCCTTTCGTCTGTACTGAGTGGGCAAACAGACTAACTCAATTGGCTGGACCGCTCGAGACGCGATCCTTACCTTGATTAGACCGATAAAGCGGTTAAAACAAACACACTTAGGTCTATCAAGTGATCTTGCACTGTATTGTTTAAGTCTTCTTGGAACCCCTTCAATAAAACAGGTTAGTAAACGAACATAGAAATCCCGAATTTTGCGTAGAAAATTCTTCGTAATTAGTATACTTTTTAACTTGCTGGTCAAAGTTTTGGGATTATGGATCCGTTTTGGATTTAATATTTTCGATAAAATAAATCATATTACATTTTTTTCAAATTTCTTCTAACTTTCAATGTACGATAATTATTAAATTGTAATCTCATAATTGAAATCGTTAATTTAACAAATAAAATGATAATTTGAAAATCGTTTTTTTTTATTATTATATTGAGCGGACGTCGTAAAAACTGAATTACATCTACGTTAAGCCAATATATTTTTCGAAATACAATCAAAGTTCTCATTATGAACGATGGGTCATAATGAGGGATGTTTTTGTTTGACTTGAAATTTGATCATAGCTGAAAGCTGAGTTGTTTTGTCTCACCGCTTTTCACTTGAACTAAAACAGGTAAACTGAAAACA